GGTTGTTGATGGAGCCCGGGTACCTTCAGTCCTCCAGGGCCAGGCCCAGCAAGTCGGCCTGAGGAGCCTCTGGGCCCGTTGCCCCAGCATTACTGAACACACGGGGGCAGTCCACAGACCAGTGGCCCTCCCGATGACATTTAGGGCAGGGGCCCCGTGGGTTACGATGAGGATTGGGGCAGCCCTTGGCCCAGTGACCCGTCTTACCGCATTTGAAACAGGGTCCGGGGGGCGGCGGGGGAGCAGCGCGAACAGGGTGAGCAGTGAAGTCTGTCGCCTCAGCTGGTCGGGCGGGTGCAGTAATCACGTGGCAGTGATTTTTGGCTTTTTCGTTTCTCGCGTGGTAAACTTTGAAAGCCGCCTCCAGGAGCTGTGCCTGTGGAGTCTGGGGACCTTTTTCTAAGCGCCTAAGTTTACCTTTGATGTCTGGGTAGGATTGGTTGATGAAGTGAGACATTAGGAGTTGTCTGCCCTCGGTAGATTCTGGATCCATGTTTGTGAACTGTAACATAGCTTTGGTTAGTCGGTCAAGAAATGCAGAAGGATTTTCCTTAGTATCCTGAAAAATTTCTGAGAGTTTGGAATAATCTACAGGTTTAAGGGCGGCCTTACGGAGTCCCGCCATAAGACAGGTTAAGAATTGGTCTCTGGCCAGAATGCCGGCGGGGGAATTATAATCCCAGTGGGGCTCCCGGTCAGGCACCGCCTCCGCCCCGGGAGGGTGGGAGGCGAGAGTCTGGTGTACCTCGTCGGCGTACTGTCTCGCCTGTTCCCAGACACGTCTGCGTTCCTCGGGGAGCAAGTTATTGAACAGGAGGGTTTGTACGTCGTGAAAGGTTAGGGAATAGGACTGAGTCAGAAATTGAAATTCTCTTATGAAATTGGTAGGATTAGCAGTATATGACCCGAGCAATTTTGAGACCTGAGAGAGCTCTGATAAGGAAAATGGTACATGAACCCTTATTAGACCCTCCGAGCCGGCCACCTCCCTCAAGGGCAGAACTGTAGCTGGCTTGATTTGACCTGGGTTAGTCCTCGCTGCGGCCTGCGAACGGGTAAGAGGCGGGGTAAAAGTCGGAGCCAGACTGCGGGTGGATTTAGTGCCTGAGGGGGGTTTGCGCCGCGAAGAGGAGGAAGCAGCAGGGGGGGAGGGAGACCGGGAAGAGTCTGAAAGTCCTTCCTGCTGTCTGTGGCCAAAAGAAACGGTTAGCCGTTCGTGGGTGCGACTGCGCCTGCGGGAGAGGTGAGGTGAGGGTGAGTTGGAACTGGAATGAGAATTAGGATGTCGGCGAGAACGGAGGCTGCGAAAACTCCTTGGGGAAAGAGATCTGGACCTGGGGAAATGTCTGCGCGGAGATGGTGAACGGGAGGAAGGCCTGCGGGCAGGAATGTTAAAATGTCTGCGTATCGGCGGAGAACGGGATGAAGACCTAGACTTGTTAAAACGGGCTGTAGAAGGAAGAGGAATGTTAGAACGAGGCGCGCGGGGTGAAGACTTAGGATCTGTGGGAGGAAAAGGGGCGGGTGAGATTTCGTGCGGCCGAGGGGGGCGGGAAGGGGCGGTCAGGGGGCGGGAAGGGGCGGTCCCACGAGGCCTGGGAGGAGGAGGCTCGTCAGCCGGGTCCATGGCGGTAGCCAGAGAAGGGAATACCTGTTGGGAAGGGAGATTTTGTGAGGACAGTGCCAGGAACATGTGAGCGGGTGAGCAGTGAGCAACTGTAGAAGGATTAGTCTTTAGAGCCATGTAAAAAAATCCCATAATATACATTAACTCCTTCCATTTTGTTGAGCGGTGACAAAAATTAGCCAATTCACGTAAGATGTCAGGATCAAATGAGCCCTGAGGAGGCCAGCGGATATTGCCCTCCAATTTATAACGGGGCCACGTTTTGGAGCAAAGACGGACGAGTTTATCCATCTTAATGGACGGAATGAGGGCGTGGGGTTTTAGAGACTCCAGGAGTTGACCCAGAGGTGAATCAGGGGGAATAGTCTTAGATTGTCTTGAACCCATGGCAGATCTGGCCGCTGGCGAGCACAGCAAGTCCTCTATCCAGGCGTCCGAGGAAAGAGGAGGCCGTGTTATGGGCGAAGATTGACTCGAAACCGGCAACCGACGAGTACCAAACTCGGCCGGCAGGAGGACAATCACGCCGTTAGGGCTGACCGTACAGCCGGAAAGGTGTCCACTCCGTTAGTGGACCCGACGCGGGAGGCACAGATAGGAAGGAAGAGCAGTAGGAAAACCAGGGCACCAAACCCTGGGGAGAAAGCGACTGAGAGCACCGAGCTCCCAGCTGCGGCAGAACCAAACCAGGGGCACAAGACCAAGAGAAGGGAGGGGGGCAATGGGAAGGCAATTCCAACCCAGATTAGCCAGGGGGAGCCGGCCGGACGTCCCTAGGCGTATCAAGGAGGGAAAAGCCCGCGGGGGGGGGACTCACGGTTAGTTGGAGATGGCCGTGGGGCGGTGGTGGTCCCGGTTCTGACTCTGTGTCCGGCGTGAGGTCCCGGGCCCGGAGCCCGGACCTCAGGTGGAGAATCCGGCACGGAGAAGTCCCCGAGTCGACGGCACCAATAATATTCCTTAAAAACGGCGGCGGGGCGGCGTGGGTGTGTGGACAAACACAGGATAGGCGGACGCAAAGGAAGAGACGGACACGCAGCTCCCACGTGGGTGCGTTTAATGGGGAGGGGGAAACACGATAAGGGCGGGACGTGCAGACACACGAGGAAAAAGGGGCAAGAGAGGGGCCAAGAGGAGGGAAACCTCGTGGACCTTCGCTTTTAACGGGGGGCGCAAGGTTATCTGGGAGGAATGGCCTTCACCTGGGCGCGACCAGCGCGCGCAGGTGACCCAGGGGAAGTCTGGGAGCTGTAGTTTCCAAGGAATAACAATCCCAGTTCCCAGCCATGGGGAATTGCCTGAGATGAATGTCAGTGAAAGCTGACTTGGAGCAGGAGACCTTACCATTTAGTTGTAGTAGTGTGCAGCCATGAAGTGGGCACAGGAAGTTGGAAAGTGGTCCTAGTCCAGGACTCCCGTATGCCTGTTGGAGGCGGGAACACAGAAAGCCTGGCTGAGTCATACAGCAGTGTTATGATTCTTGACAGGTTCCCTGATGGGTGAGAGACGACTACGGGTGTGAGACAGTTACTGTAATGATATATTCTGTCTCTTTAAGAGACAAGCCATGCCCACTCCCCCATCTGCCTCTTGAAGAGGCAGCTTCTGTCTCTCCCTTCTCTCTCTTTCCCCTCTCTCATCTCTCGCTCTCTGCCTCTTTACTCTTTTCCCCCTCTCCTTTCCCCCTCCATAACCCACTAAATTCAGCCTCACTCTACATGGCATGCCTATCTGTCTGTCTCTCGCCTTCCACGTTGCTCCCTGCCTGGGACCAGCCGCCTTTGGACACCTGCAGCGTGGTCTCATGGCATGCCCATCTGTCTGTCTCTCCTCATGGCCTGCTGCAGCCACTTGTGGAACTGTGCCATCCCTGCATGGGACTGGCTGCTCTCGGGACCTGCTGCTTGCTGTCTTCTGCCACATGGCTTGCTCCCACTGCTCAGGGACCTGCAGCACTTCTGCTACTGCAGCCACCAGAGATCCTGCCGCAATTTTACCATTACATTGGTGCCATGAGATTTGGGAGGCTTTCCTGCCCCAAACCCTGGGATCAGGATCCAGAACCAGGTATTTTTTTCCACAACAACCATGTGTTCCATATGCCTGAGCGTGATTTCTCCACACAACACCAGCTTCGATTGGTGAGTTTCCCCCATTCTGCTATGATTGAGCCCTCTGCTAACATTCTTCTCTGGATTGCTTCCCTTAGCTAAAATCATAACTGGACTGATCCTCCTGCACTAACACTGCACACTCTGTGCAGAGCATTCGATTGGGGGCCCAGGGTCCCTCAGTTTTTCATTTTCTTTTTTTTTCTTTCCTTTCCTTTTCTTCCCCTCGCCATGAAAGGCCACTCAGAGTGGCCTGGACTGACCCAGGGTCAGTCCTCCAATTCGACTGGGGGCCAAGAGTCTCTCAGTTTTTCTTTCTCTTTTTTTCCTTGTCTTTTCTTTTCTCCCCTTCTGTGTTGCTTGTTTTTGTTTTGGAGGCCTTGTGGTGTCACCATTTTGTGGGTTTTTAGTTTCAGCTATGGGTAGCAAGCCATCCCTGTCCGTTCCCCTGGGATGGATGTCTTTTAGAGGCCCTAAAACCACAGGCCTTAATGTCCTACTTCTTCAGCTCCCACCCTCTCTTCCGCTGCCTCCACTTTTACAGAAGCTTTCTGTCAGCACACAGCCAAATGGAAGGAGTTTCCTCAAACTGTCCCTGCCACTACTTCTGCCAACAAAATTGGTCAGATTCATGAGGCGGCTGTTTTCAATTCTAGCCTTTTGCTTCCTACTGTGGCTTGTGACATGCAGCTTAGAGACAGGGTGGATCATGCCTCTAAGTCTCTTTTATTATTAACCTTAAATTCCATGCAGCTCAAAATTGTGGCTTTTCCATGCAACATGTAACCACTACCATTTTGACTGAGGTCAGGTGACTTTACCACCATCTTAACTAATATCCAGGTCAGGTAACCAAGTCCTGCCATCTTTACTGAGCTATACCCTGCCTGGACCCCGGTTTACTTATGTTTTTGTCTCTAAATTCTTCTTGCTGACTCTGTTGCATGTGTGTTTTGTACAGTGGCATGCCTCTGGTAGGGCTCACCAAGAGCATCTACTTCACTCAATTCCTGTTCACTGTGTGCATGTGTTTATACATGTAACTTAAATACACCTATGTTTACTTTAAATGTTATAATTGTCTGTTCATTGCATCTCATTTCAGACTACAAAAACAATAAGTCTCATATTTTAAACTGTTGTACTTTTAAATCTCTTACAAAAATACTTTATATTTAACCTAACCCTCATTTAAAATATATTAAGATGTTCTGTATTGTTGTCAGTTCTGCCATTAACCTTCTATTGCGAGCAGTTTTTCTTCTTTCTGTCTTTTTACAAGTGTCACTCCTACTTGTTAAGAGCCAGTACAGTCAAGCTCAGACCCAGCTCTTCCAGACTCTATACCTGATAAACAGCTGTCAACTGCTCAGAGATCTGGGGAATATGACATTTAAATAGTTAATTGTTAAAAAACTTTTTATAACAAAAAGAGATAGGTTTGCTCCTAGCAGCAGCACTCTAATTTCTCCAAAGAAGACAGAAGACAAATGGGCACAAAACAACATCCATCTGCAATTCACTTCATCAACTGCCAGTGCTAACTGGAAAAAATGCCTTTCATCTAAACTGAAGATCTACAGATGTGGACAGAATTGCTAGAATTGACAGCCTGGCGGCTCAGATCAAGGTAGGCTTGTCTTCCTACAGACTTCTTAGCCCACAGGGTCTTCTGGAGCTTGGCAGGCTCTGTGTTAGACAGTAGAGGCAAGTATGACCCTCAGTGACCATGGAGGACTGAGGAGTAGCTCTAGGTGCCAACCACGTAAGTTCTCTGTTGTTTTTTAATCAATAACTCAAGTAAGATTTTATCCTTCTCAAAGATCTCTGATGCAGTTTGACAGCTGAGAGGTTTTGTCAGTTTAAAAGGACAACTCACCAAATAAATTTCAGTGAATTATAAATACAAGTTATTAAGGTGTACCTGCAAGTTATAAAGGTGTGAGGACAAGTGCACACTATCAGATTTTTCTCTCATGCTGCCTTCCATATTTTTCATTGTGTAAAATATCTGTCACAGTCATTCTAACATAAATATGCTACTGTTTATACAATGCATATGTCTAAAACTTTTTTTTTTTCACAAACCCAAAGAATTCTTGTGAGTTCTAGGGGGCTGAATTAAAGGATCCACCTTAAACATATCAGATACACCCTTCTCAATCCCCTGGTACTAAATTTTTTTTCCTAAACTTAACTTTGTCCTCTGTTCTGCCAATACCTTAAACAGGTGTAAGAGACACCAGTCATTTCCATACCACAAACACCGGACATGAACAAAGAGACCAGTTACACCAGGATGTGACCAGCACCCAGCTTTCTCAGGTTCACCCACAAAAAAGCAGGAAGCAGTCTTGAGAATCCGATGCCCCAATTCCCTTAAAAGAGAAGGGAATGTAATGATCTGTTTTGTCTCTTTACAAGACAAGCCCACTCCCTCCCCTGCCTCCTGAGACAGGCAGCACTTCTTTCCTGCTTGCAACCTGAGTCTCTTCCTTTTCCACCTCCCTCTTGAAGAGGCAGCTTCTGCCTCTCACCACTTCTCCCCCTCTTCCTTGTTTTTTTCTCTCTCTCTGCTCTTCTCCCCTTCTCCCCCTTCCCTTCCATAACTCACTAAATAAACCTCATTCTCTTGCCTGCCACATGGCTTTCTGCCTGGGACCAGCTGCCTTTAGAGACCTGCAGCATGGTCTCGTGGCTTGCCCACCTGTCTGTTTCTCCTTGTGGCCTGCTGCAGCCACTTGTGGAACTTCGCCATTTCTGCCTGGGACTGGCTGCTCTCGGGACCCTCCGTTCTCTGCCTGCTGCCACATGGCCCCCTGCAGTGTTTCTGCTGCTACAGTCACCGGGACCCAGGGATCCTGCAGCAATTTTACTTTTACCATTACAGTTAGGCCATGCAGAGAGAGAGCTTGGGTATAGAGTTTATTTAGTGGGTATTGGGAAGGATATAAGGGTAAGGGGGTTATGGAGGAAAAAGAAAGAAAGAGATAGAGGGGAAAAGGCAGAGGTTGTCTTTTCAGAAGAAAGAAGTGGAGAGGAGGTGGGAGATGTACCTGCCTCTGAGGGAAGAGGGAGATTGGGAGTGGGCAGGGCTTGCTTCTTAAGGGACAGGATACCTAGGTGACTGGAAGGCCAGAAGAAGTATAATGACAACATTTGGCATCCGTGTTTTCCTTCTTGGAAGCTGCACACCACATTGGACCAATGAAGTGGTTGCTCTTTAACAACACTCATCAGCAACTTGGTAGGATCTTTAACCCCTAAGAGATAAACCTCTGCCCATGCTGTGAGGCACCGCATTGGCTGTGTAGTGCCCAGATCACAGAGTCCTCCACAAACCAACTAGGAGACTGAGTCCTCTATGTAAAAGCAAAGAGCCTTTATTTTTATTCAAGTTCCAACTTGGACTCTCAGTGTGTCACTGTATTGGTGTGACTGGGGAGCCCTGAGCTCAGTTGGGGTGAGGTTTTTATAAAGGCAAAGGTTGAGGTGAGGCATTTCTAAGGTTGAGGACCCCTGATTAGCTGACTTTTGTCTAGGTGTGTCCTAGTGAAAAGCAATGGATGTGTGCTGGGAGGTAATCCTATCTACAATGGTTGGAATGTTAAGAATTTCCTTTGGATGGTCTGTTCCTGGGTGGTCTTAGTTTGTAGTCTTTCTTGGAACCACGTTTAATCCCAGCACTCGGGAGGCAGAGGCAGGCCCATCTCTGTGAGTTCAAGACCAGCCTGGTCTACAAGAGCTAGTTCCAGGACAGGCTCCAAAACCACAGAGAAACCTTGTCTCGAAAAAACCAAAAAAAAAAAAAAAAAGGAACCATGTTTTGCCTTAGGGTAAACTGGGAGACACTGGCCTCTATTGAGCTTATCATGGCTGGGTCCTGTAGGTTAGGTTCCTTGAAGTGGGAAAACCTTCCCTTAAAGGGACAGCACCCTTCCCAGGGCTAGCATACTAGATTGTATAGAAAGCAGAGAGTGAGTTGGGCATCGCTCTAGGCATCCTGACTGTGGATACAATTTGACCAGCCATCTTAGGGTCCTTCTGTCATGATTGAAAGACACCCCCCCAGAGGACCTTCCCTCAGGAGAAGACCCCAGGACCGCCCAGGAACAGTCCACAGCCTGCAATCAGCAGGAGGTTTATTGAGTATACACAGGTACCTGCAGGCGGCAGTCTCTTCGGAGGACTTGCAGCCTTCAGGCTGGGCAGGGGGTCTTTTATATGGAAATGGGCAGCAGAAGCAGACATGCATGGATACAGAGATCTCATTGGTGAGTTCGAATGCAGCGAAGGGTACATGTAGTTTTTCCTCTCCCAGCACAGATGTATGGCAACAGATATACTGTTCTTATTTTACAGATATCCTGTTTTGCAGACATCCTATTTCACAGATATCCTGTTTTGTAGATGTCCTATTTCACAGATATCCTGTTTTGTAGATAGGGGCCCTGACCTCACCCTGCACTTACATTTGTTTTTTTGTCAAAGCCTGGCAAAATGACATTACAGTAGCTAAGCTGGGGTCTTTCATAGGGGCAACTGTTCCTTTTGTGAAGTGCTAATATTCTAAATTTGGCTCATGTGCCGACTACAGGTATCCTGTTTTCCTAAGCAAACGGGATGTTCTCATGAGAGCAGGCTAGCTGCTGGTCCTGAAAATCTTTCAAACAAACAGGACGTTCCCACGGGAGCATGCTAGCTGCGGGTTCTGAGGGGGTTCTGTAGGGTCTTTTCAATGATGAACTGAACCTTCAGGGTGTGAGGGAAAACAAATCCTTTCTCCCTTGAGTCGCCTTTGTCAGGACAAAGGACAAGAGGGAAAGTAACTCAATAATCCTCAATAATGATTTTATTTAAGTCATAATAGATAGAGATATACTGACCCATTATACAGACTCAGTAGTAGAGGGACATTTGCGTTGACTGTTTTTGTTGTTCTTGTGGGGTTTTTGGGGTGGAACTCAGGTCACCATGCTTAAGGGCAAACACTCTTAACTGGTGAACCATCTCTTCAGCTCTTTCTTTCCTTTCTCTTCGCACCCCCCCCCCCATTTCCCTTTCAAAACAACAATCTATTTTTGTATCTGAGTTCTTTTCTCCCTCTGCTTCCTCACTGGAGAACTATCAACACCCAGAGCCCTCTCTTAGTTTTGCAGCCTGGGTCTCTCTTGGCCCAGCCCTGCAGGGCTGATTCTTTTATGGACTTGGCCTGTAAAAACCATTGGCATTTGTACAACTTGAAAAGCTACATTTGCAAATCCTTAAGAGGTAAACTTTACCACTTGGGCTTCTTAAGAAGTTGTTCTAGAACATTGATGTGAGAATTCTAGAACCTCAGAACCCATTATGGATTAAGAAACACTTTAAACCTACTTAGTGTGCTATGAGGGGTTTTACAGACACCCCATGTTCCCTGGCTTGGGTGTGTTGTCCCAGGAGCCATTTGTTTTTAGCATTGTGTGACAGTTGACATACGGGAGGACAAATGGGATACAATCTTTGATTCAGCAAGTCCAGGCTTTGTTCAGCTTGCATGTTGATTGGCTGTCAGCACTGTGTCACAAGGTCATCCCTTCATCAGCCTTCAAGCCCTTCTAGACAACCTCTTGAAGCATCAGCAGGCAACCATTATCACCCTTGGGACCCCTGTGGCTTCCATCTCTTTTTAGTCCCAAGGCATATCACACTTACCTTATTTTTTTAACTTTTAAAATTATTCTTTTCCTTACATGTACACATTGCATGATGACCACTGTCTCCCCCACTCTCTCTCACTCCTGTCCATTCTTCTTCCTCCCTATAAATCTCTTTTTCACAATTCTGGATAAGCACTTGTTTCATGACCCAGTGTGATTAACCACGGCCATCTCTGTGTGACCATGAGTTGTATCTGGTGGGCTCAGAAGTAGATACACAACTAAAGGCAGTGATTCTCCTCCCTCTCCAGAAACTTGTTGGCTCCTTTTCAGGTTGCAATATTTGTAATTAAAATTTCTGAATTGACTTTTATTATTTTTGGAATTATGAAATTACACAGGAGCTAATACAAGGTGATTTCTGGCTGAGGTTGTAACTCAGCTTGTCTAGTTTGAGACAAGGTTGGCTTTCAAAGTACAGCACTCCACACCCACGGATAACACACACACATGCATGCACACACACATGCATGCATACGCACACTCACACAAGCACATGCAAAGAATACATCATAGATATGTACTAGTCACGTTTAATACAGTTGACTCTGAAATTCATTGTCACATTTTCCGAAAACCCACTGCCCTCCCTGTGTCCCTTACCTCCTTTCTGCTGGTCAGCTGATTTTCCTCAGTGTCTCTTTACAGAATGTGTATTCTGTTTCTGTCATGCTTAGAGCTACTCAGTCATGAGAGTAACCTGACAAGTCTTCAAGTTCCCAGTAGTCCCTTGTATTCTGATTTGTAAAAACCCACCTTTGTAATTGGTTTCAGGTGGAGGCTGCACACAAAGGAGAGCCAGGGAAGAAAAGGGAGCATGTGGTGCAAAGTGGAGTCAGGCAGAGCTGACGAAGCTCACATCTGAGCTCTCTAAAATGAGATTGCAAGAAGATTCTTATAAAATGGAAGTGGAAAAATTCAAGGAAATGTA